GCACTCGGCTTAGAATTCTATAATTGAATCATCTGGTAGCATTTTTTTCTTATTTATGTTTCTTCTTTTTTTTTTCTTCAGAAGAGGAATGAAAGTGGAAACTAGTCAGTCCCCAGACAATTTGCCAGTTTCATCAATTTTATTAAGAGTTTAAGCTTATCTTATTTTCATACTTTTTAGTCCTTTTACTGCATGTGCTATTGTGCTGAGAGACATTTCTGGCATATTGTTCTTTTTCAGTCAAGTATTCCCTCTATCTTTTAAGTAATCATTCAATCTCATAAAGCAGGGTAAATGTGTCCAGAATTATTTCTTCTTGAGAGGTTTCTTACAGTTACAGCCAGGATTTTATTATGTAGATTAAAAGTCTGTTTAATATTTTCAATGAATTCAGTTTCTATGCAACGGTTTTGCAGTCACAACTATTTTGCTTCTTTGACATATTTGTTAATGATTGTGTTTATTTCCCTGTAGCTTCCTTCATATTCGTTTTCTTAAATATTCCACTAGTTGTCTTTAATTCTTCTATCATATAGTTTTCCTATTTGTTCCTGTGGTGATATCTGCTAGATGTTTTTGTAGATTTTATAAACTTTTGAAATCATTTATAATGATATAGTCAATTTGGTTTTTGATAACTTTTTAGGGAGATTCAGCTGGATATTTCCATAAAGTCTTCAAGGTGATAATTAGGAAAAGGTATTCATTATTGCATTGTATACTTCTTGGCAGAACTATATGACAATTTCTTCTTGTTACCTGTTGCAAAGTGTCTTACATTTGCTAATAAACAGTTTTTACTACATACAATATTGCATTTAAAGGAATTTTGGTAGCCTAAACCAAGTTAACCTTTATTTTATGGTCATAGGCATGTTTTATTACATTGATGTTTACAATTATTGCTATTATTCAATGTGATAATATTCTTAATATCAAAATCTGTGACATACAGCTTTTAAAACAATATAATGGTATAAAGTCTCTCATGTATGTTCCAAAATTCGTATTTGCAATTTTTATACATAAATTTTCTTGAAGTATGAACTTTTGTCTAGGTATGTCTAGTATTGCATAACACTGTGCAACTGTTATAAGTCCAAAAATTATCTAAAAACGTTAATAAAATAGGTATATTACAGTTTAACAACTAAATATCAATAATAACAAACACTTCAAACTGTTTTTTTTGCTGGTTCGTTCACAATTTGCATAGCTGAATACGTAATGGCTTTAACTTCTGTTCCTTGTGGATGCTTACCTAACGTAAACTCTTCACCATAACATTTACATTTTATTCTATATTCTTCACCTTCAGTGACAAATTCTGTAATAGTTACTTTGCTACATATAAGAAATGGTTCACAACTGAATAAAAATAATAGTTCATCTAAAAAGTGAAACATTAAACTTTCTAAATCGTGACCTGTGGCTTCTATTTCTGAAGATTGTAGGATTTCAACACTATCGAGTTCTGTCATATATCCAAACATTGCTATACCACATTGTTCATAAGCTTCTTTTAAACTATCTCCCCAAGCATGTAACCTTAAAAAGGTAAATGATAGGATAAATAGTTAACATTAAAATATTGTAATACATACTGTACATCGGCTGTATGATCCAAATCTAAAAAAGAAACAACAAATAAATAAAGGAATAAGTGTACAGTTTAAACGTTTAAATATTATTACTTACATTCATATTTGCATGATGGTAATTCTAATTCTTCTGGTGTAAAACTTTCCTCCATGTTTATATTTTTATTTGAAACTCATAAATTATAAAATATGACCAATAAAAACAGTGGTCGTTTCAGAGATATGTAAGATATCACCACCACTGGGTCGTTTCTAATTCTAAACACAATTTGTACGTAGGAGAAACCTAACCTGTATGATGTTCTTCTTCTTTTTTCTTTATTGGGTAATATATATAATATGCCAGGGGATAAAATTTACAAGCTAATTTAGACAGGTTGGATATCTATGATATGCAGTTTTTATATGTGAAACAAAGATAGAAGATATTGTGTCATTGTGTTGTAAATTGTAAGAGAGTGTAAAGATTGTAATGTATTTTGGTATTGTATGAATTTATTTAACTCAAACTTTTTATTGAAATTTATTAATTGTATTACTTGCATACTACAAGCACAGAATAAATAACACTAGAATAAATTAGTTGACAGGTCTGGCAAATGCGCTTTGCATTTTTTTTTTCATAATTTGGTAAAATAAACACTAATTACTTTGAAAGTTATTTTGATCTCAAATCATTAGTCATTAATGTCATTAGGTGAAATTTAATGCACAGCTGAATTGCGGAACTATCTTTTTTTGACTTGATTTTAAATTCATATGACCGTAAAACATCAATAGGACTTTTCACCAGCCACCATCCGCCACGTTTTTCGTACAGACAGATTTGACTTGACAATGACGTAAAATATATATTATTCGTCATGGTTACTGGTATTTATTAAATATTTTTAATAAAGAAATATTATTCTTTATAAAGAAATAAAGGCTTTATAAAATAATGTGTATGTATTATCAAAGAATATAGACGCTTATAGCCTCTTAATACTCCATTCACTTTGATTCCCATCTTTGCATCTTCCAAAGACTCTTGAAATATGGCTTCCGAATAAATGTTAAATAAAAGAGGGGAAAGCACACATCCCTGTCGAACGCCCCTTCTTATATGTATGGATTCGGATATAGAATTGTCTATTTTTAACTGTGCCGTTTTATGCTAGTACAAGTTTTCAATGCATCTTATGTCTTTTTGGTCTATATCAACTTTTTTGAGGATCTGCATTAACTTGTGGTGTTGGACACGATCAAACGCTTTTTGGTAATCCAAAAAGCATAGGAACACATCCTTCTTCTGATCGTAATAATTTTGGACCAGCACCTGTGTTGCTACTATTGCTTCTCGTGTTCCTAAACCTTGCCTAAACCCGAATTGGGAGTCACTGATGTCCTATTCACATTTTTCGTATTATCTTTTATGTAGTATTTTTAAGAATATCTTTAAAGTGTGACTCATCAGGCTAATGAGACTTTGATCCTCACATCTTTTTGCATTGACTTTCTTGGACAGGGGAATAAAGGTACAGCGTAACCACTGTTGAGGATAGCAGCCAGTTTCATAAATTAAGTTAAATATTTTGTGTAGTGCTGAAATTCCACTTTCATCCAGTAATTTGGGTATTTCTGACGGGATTTCATCTGGTCCAGGTGCCTTATTGTTTTTTGAATTTAATATTGCCTTTTCTATCTCCTCTTTGGTGATTGAAGGGCCAGTCAGCTGGTCGTCTGTATAAACTTCACTCATGGGTCTTTCGTCATGGAAGAGCTCCTGGATATAATTTTCCCATATATCAGTTTTCTCCTTTTCACCCAGCACTATCTGGTTATCCTGATTAACTATGGTAGTTGGTCTTCGTTTTCTGTATATTCCAGCAGTTTCCTTTAGCTTTTTATGTAAATTACGGTCGTCGTGCTGTCGTTGTAAATGTTCTAGATCGATACATTGTTGCTTAAGCCATTCATTTTTTGCTATTCTTATTTTTGCTTTTATTTGCCTGTTAATGTTTTCATACATATTGCTGCCATCTTGGTTATTCTTGTGTCTTCGTCGTTCTTCCATTAGTAATAGTATTTCTTCTGTCATCCATTTTTGCCTCTTGTTTGTACCCTAAGTTGTTTTTCATGATGTCTGTTACAGCACTTGTAATCGTATTCCATGTTGGTGTTAGATCTTCGGCAATGTTTGTCGTCAATATTTAAATTTGTGCGTTTATTTCATTGCTTATTTTTGCTTGTATCATTGGGTATTTCAGTTTGTCCAGTGCTATCTGTTGTTTCAGGCTTGTTCTTGCATGAAAGAGCGATCTTAATGACGGCCACTAATAGTACGTGGTCAGAAGGGACATCTGCTCCAGGGTATGTGCAAGCTCTTTTGACAGTTGTGCTGAATCTACCGTTGATAAGAATGAAGTCTATTTGATTTCTTATTATGTTCTGAGCTCTATCGGCTGAAGATTTCCAAGTATAAAGGCGACGGGGGTGGAGTTGGAACCATATGTTGGTAACTCTCATGTTTTCGTTCCTTGTTCCAAGACCATAGGGTCCAACTACGTCTTCAAAGCTGCCCTTCCCTATTTTGGAATTAAAATCTCCCATAATTATTTTGACATCATGTTTCTTTGTCAATTTAAGTAGTTCTTTGATTTCACTATAAAAGTTTTCCACTACTTCATCTGATGCGTCTGTAGTTGGTGCATAAACCTGTATGATGTTGAGATTATTTGGCTTCGCTTCAAGTTTTACTAAGGCTGTGCGGTCGGAATATGGTACAAACTGTGTGACAGCTCTCACCAATCTTTTAGTTATCATAATCCCGACGCCTTTTCTATGATCGCGGTCATCATTGCCTGAGTAAAAGAATGTTCTGAGATCCCAAGGATATCTAGATCAAATCTGCTCATTTCTTGAGTTAGGTTAGCCAGCTTCCCGGCTTCAAATAAGCTGCGTGTATTCCAGGTGCCTATCTTTAATATCTTTCTTAAGTTTGCTCGTAAGAGTGAAACATTCAAGACCGCTCCCCCCGGAGATCCGGTTGGGGAACTATTTATACCTCCGGATCATTTTGACTTGAATGTATTCATGTGATTGTCTTGAGAAATGACTTTGATCGATAAGTATCTGAAAGTCTGAGCCGAACGCAGATTTGTTGTAAAATCATGATCCAATTACCCCACCTTACACTAAGTCAGCCTAAGAAAAAGACCTATGGTTTCAGAACTTAGAAGAAGAAGTGTTTAAAAGTTTTATTTTACAAATTGGGATTTATCCCCCAAAAATTATTCCAGAATTACGAATTCGTGTTAAAAACCAAAATCATAATCTATTAAAAACGCTACGTATATTTTAATAACGATATTATTTATTCTATGTATTAAAATTGATAATACTAAATTTTTTGATTGTAGGTAATAATTTACTGTTTGGCCAACTTCACTAGATCATGATCTTCTTTATTTTTTCGTTACGTGGACCATGACTAGATAGATTTAGATATCGTCTCCGTCATATATGCGTAAAAGAAAGAATATCTTAAAATACTACTCGTCCATAATTATTACTTCTTCTGATTTGATGATTTGACCGTGATACATTTGATATAGTGAATTATTTCCAAGGACACTTGGCTGATAATAACATGGAGCTCCATCAGAAGAAGACAGTAAAAAAAGCACGGCGCAAAATAGAGGTGATATAGTATATATATATATATATATCATATTTGTGTGTGTGTGTATTTAATTTTAGGAGAATAACGTCGGAGAGCTAAAATGGATAGAAAAAGATAACGAATTGGGAAAAAGTCAAGATGAGACAGTGAAATCAAAAGCCAAAGTTGAAGCTGCAGTCTTTCAGGGTAAAACTTTTTTGAAATTATGCTTGTTATAATCTTTACCTACAATATTTTTCTCAATCATTTGTAGCTTTTAAAGAACTAAAGAAGAAAGCAAAAAAAGAAAGACAAGCTGAGAAGAGAAGACTGTTGCAACAGCAAAAACTTGAGGACGAGGAAAGAGAAAAGGTGGTTGAAAAAACCATACCTGCCATGGTAACAATAAAAAGGGTTACTGGAGGTGGAAATAATTGTCCAACAGTTGAAATAACCGTAAAAGTTTCAACTCCTGAGGATCATAAGCTCATGTACACACTTCTTAATGGATCTGATGATTGTAACAAAACTGAAGTAACCCATAAACCAAACAAAGGGTATAAAAAGAAAAAGAAAGCAAAAAATTCTATTGAAAGATTAGAAGCCCCAGAAAAAATTCCACAAGTTATAACAAAAGAACTGAAAGTAACAGTAGCTCTTGATATGATAAATAAAAAAAATAATGAACCATCTAGCGCCGAACCTAATAAGCTTTCTAATACTAAGAGTATAGTGGAAAGTAAAAAGGGTATAAAAATGAATGACAGAAAACAAAGTCTCAGTCACGAGGATTTGTTTGTACCCAATATTCTTATTCCACCAGGTAAGTTTTCTTTGATAATTTCGTACCTAAATAAGCAATTGGACTTTGTAAGTCCTATGTTTGTACCCAACGTGACCGGAAGTTGATATTTGAACCCTTCTATAACTCTGCGTCGACTGATACGATTTCAATAATTTTGAGTCATTTTTGCCAAACTTCCGATCACAAATGTTTAACCGAAAACTGGAAGTATATATTTGTTTTCGACTTTATACAATACGTCGAATAATATATCGCTTGTACTATTTCGGCGACTTTAAAATAGTACTTTCGCTTGCAACTTCCGTACCGGAAGTTCGAGGTGAAATTTCCTCCATTTAATACAATCTCTGGGTGACAAGCTCTCATTCAACACACTTCATTTTCCATTATATCTGTTCTAATAACGGAGGAGTTTGTTTAGGGACAGACGGACGGACAGACATGGATAATTCACGTTTTAAGGTTTTCACGTTTTTAATGTGGTAAAATACGTGAAAATAATATGGATTATGGCTCTCACAAATCAATAACTTAAAAGTAACACTTATGCCTGGTTGCACCAACATATCTTAAGCTTAAGACGTGCCTTAGGTAGGCCTCAGCTCAGACTGATCGACCGACCACGACCAAACCGTCCGACGTCGATCAACCAAATTTTGTATTTTTATTTTTAAGAATATAAAGAATATTTTAGAATCGAAAATTATGGTGCAACGTAAGTGAGAGTTAAGGCAACCCTAGCTACAAGCAGAGCTGGGCTAAGCTGGAGCTTAAGATCTATTGGTGCAACCAGGCATTAAATACTCAAAATCTAAAGAGTTTTTATCCTATAAAACTTAATAGTCTAAAGTCTTAATAATCCAGTGGGGATAGGATTTGACCTTGCATGGCAGGCTCTCCCAGATTGTATTATTATAACCTTTAGGGGTATGGTGGTCAATAGTAATGTAAATTTACAATTGCGACTGAATTCCACAGTTGCGATTGAATCTTGATTTAAATGTCAATGCAACATACATAAATACATATACGACAATACAACTATGTATATAAACGTAACAGAAGGTCTAACAACAAGCAAAAGAAGAACGGAGAGAGGAAGACACTATCTCTCCAAAATTATTTACTCTTGCATTAGAAGATGTCTTTAAGAAGTTAAATTGATATCAACACGGAATTGAAATCAAAATTTTTAAGTTATATAAGATTTACCGATGACACAGTACTCAGAATTACCATTACCGAAGAACTACTCTAATGCTAAAGCAGCTTAAACAAGATTCTGCGAAAATCGGTTTAAAAATAAATTGAAATAAAACAAAAGCGATGTCAAATCAAAATATCACAATAGTCTTAGATGAAAATGAGATTGAAAGTGTCGAAGAGTATATACAGGTAGGTAACACAATCAAACTAGGCAAATATAATCAAACGGTTGAGAAAACTAGAAGAATCCAAATAACTTCGACAACAGTAGGAAGACTCAATGTTGTATTGAAAACAAAGAGATACCAATAAATTTAAAGAAAAGGGTTGTTTAATCACAAATTAACCCCTTAATTTGTAACTCACATTATTCTTAACTTCTTAATCTTTTATAGTTTCACCGTGTAGAAGTGAGAATATTGTAAAACCATATCGTATAATATTTTAGTAATTAGTTCATCTACCTACAACTAAATAAATTGCCGAATAATATATTTTCTAATTAAAACTCCTAAGTGTCGCAATTAAGGCCTAGATTAAATTGTAATGTAAGCAAATAGTTCAAAGTATGGCATGGTAGAAAGCAATAACCTCTGTGCTGAGGTATGAATTATTTGTGGGATTATAAATTGCGGATTTGTGAGTGTGATCCACTGTAACATTCTCATTAGCCATCGTTGATCATTCATCCTTTCTACATGGCCATACCATTTCAGCCTTTTGCATTCTATAGTTTCCAGGATGTCAATGTCTATGCCCATACGCTCTCTGATTTCAGTATTCCTTACTCTATCTCTTCTAGTGAGTTGGCAACATCTTCTCCAATAATTTATTTCCATTGCTTTTATTTTGGATGCGTAATTTTTATTTATTACCCAAAGCTCTGAACCATATGTAGCAATGCTTTCTATGATACTTTTTTTTATCCTAATTTTTGTGTTTCGAGTGATGTGGTTATTCCAAAGTATACTATTCAGTTGACATATTGCTGAATTTCCTTGACCAATTCTAGTAGCTATCTCTTTTGTATTCCGACCATTGTTTGTAATGTTTACACCGAGATATTTATAGCTATCAGTATTTTGAATTTGTTTGCTTCCTAGTTCTAAGTGCTTTCCTTCACCTCTCACTACTACATACTCTTTGTTGATGGATTAATTGATAAGCCCCACTTAGTACATTCTTCATCTATTTTTCGTAACATGTAGTGGATATCATCTTGATCTTCTGCAAGTATTACTTGGTCATCAGCAAAATGCAAGCTGTACAGTGTATGGTCTCCAATTTTAACACCCATAGGTTCACATTTTGTTTTCCAAATATCCAAAACACCCTCCAAATAAATGTTAAAGAGTGTAGGTGCAATGCAGCAGCCTTGGCGAAGTCCTTTGGTCACTTTTATCTTTTTTGTCACTTTTTGTCCAAATTTTATTACACTCTCATATCATCGTACAACTCCCTTACAGCATTAATGTAAACCGGTGGAATATTCTTGTCTTCTAGCACCTGCCATAGCTTGGCTAATGGGACACTGTCATACGCTTTTTGAAGATCAATAAATACCATGTGTGTCTCCATATTATGTTCCAAACGCTTTTCTATTGTTTGTTTTAGGCAGAACACATTGTCTATACAAGAACGACCAGTACGAAAGCAACTCTGATCTTCAGCGTCTTCCCAACAATCTTCAATTCGGCTTTTAATTATCTTCCCGTAGACTCTACAGATTGAGTTAGTTACACTAAGCCCTCGGTAGTTCTTACAATCTTTTCTGTCGCCTTTATTTTTGGCCAGTTTTCCATTCTTCTCCTCTCAAGAATAAATTAAAATAATAAATTTACAAACCGATTCGAACCTCAAAACTACGTTCGAATTTTTCTAATTGTACTCAATAGTATGACCTGTGGAATAGAGCAGGCCATCGAATGAGCTATGTTGTGAGTTTCTTTGAGAGAACATTTACGAAATGAAGACGTGCGAAGCAGAGCGAAGGTGAAAGATATAATTGGAAGAATTTCACAAATAAAATTTAGCTGCGTAGGACACGTAACACGAAAAAACAACGAAAGCTGGACAAGAAACATTGTATATTGGAGATCACGCGAGCACAGTCGTAGATAAAGACCACAAAAACGGTGGCTAGACGACATCAAAGCAAAAGTTGCACCAAATAACACAAAGAAGAAAGGAGTCGAGAACTCATAGGGAGGTCTTTGTGTAGGAGTGTACAAACAGGCTGAAGAAGAAGAAGACTCTTTTTGAGATTGGTAAAAGTATCGCAATTGCCTTTCCCAAACACCGTCGTATTATATTAGCATGGTATTAGTTACATATGGAGTCTAAAATTTTACTACTAACATTTATTAACTACATATGTTTGTCATGTATTATTTTTTAATGTGTAAGTTTCATTTCTTTGCCAAATATTTTTTTAGGTATTACAATAACGAAGATAAATAGTTCAGAGCGAAGGAAACAAACTGTTTCGTCGATAAATAACATAAGCTCAATAGTAACAGTTGCTGAAACTGAAAAGTCCATTCACATGGGACAAGGTAATAAATCTCCTAACCGAGAACATGTTGATGAAAATTCAAAGAAAAAAACGAAAAAGAACAACAAAACCAACAAAATACGACAGGATACTCAGGCATCTACTATACCAACAGAAAAAGACAAACCAATGTCTTTAATACCAGAAAAGAATATGATATTTGATCCTTTGAAATCAAAGCTTCAACAAAAATATGATAAAAATGCAGAAAGTTGTGGTCCTGCTACAATTTTTGCTAACGAAAATGGTACGATTACGGTAATTAGAAATTTTCGCTTAAAACAATCAATTTCAAATAGAGAACGGGCATTGTCGATACCTTTGGGAACAATCTTAAACCAGACCACATCTTCAGATGTAGAAAAGTCACCGATATCAACAAATTCCACCAATTCCAAAATGCAAGACTCAACAGGTCATTCTCAAGTTCAAAAAATCCTTTCTGCTTTGCCAGAAATTCAAATTTGCAAGGTCGATATAAAAAATATTAAGCCTAAACTGAAAGAGAACGTATGTGAAAATAATTTTTTTGTGAGGTAAGTGCTCTTTTTAATAATGTAGAAATATGCAACACAGTATTTGTATAATTTTAAATACTAAAAATCTACAAAGTTTCGTTAGTTATTTATTTTAACAGACAGCGTGTTTTCAGCGAAGAAAAACCTGGAAAGTAGCATGGACCCAGAGGAATTGAAGCTTATTTGCTCATAACTTATACTTCCTTACAAACCAATCAGAAGAAATAACATTGCCAAAAGAGTTTTTAAATAATGCAAATTTTTATAAGTTACTTTGTATTAAATATTTAGAAAATATTGATCTATTATTATTGAAATATTGGATAATAATTTCTTCTGTTAGATTCTCTGTTTAATTCGAAATATTTAAATAAGAAGGGGTAAAAGTGATCTATAATTTCATAGAATAGTGCTTTCATAAACCATTACAAAAGCAATGACTACTGGTATCGCTAAATTAACATAAGTAAGACGCTAGCTAGACTCGGGTTGCTTATCCGTATAAATATGTGTAATACTGCGTTAGCCTATCGCTAGAAAGTATTAATTTTTTGGTAACAAATTATTCAACGAAAATCTACAGACAGATGCAAACCTGGTATTTTTAATAAGGTCCAATACAAGGACCATGATATAAATTATACACTATGCACAATTCTGAAACTGTTTTATTGTGGCATGTTTAAGTTAAATATTATGTTTATAATTATGGATTAAACCACAACTGTTTGTAATGAAGAAAGTGACTCTGACCACTTCCTAGTCAGAACAAAAATGACAAGGCGAGACAGCCAAAGTAAGGCCAAGAAGGAAACAGATGGGACATTGCAAGGCTCGATTTACCTGATAATAAACGCCAATATCAGGCACTGATCCAAAACGAATACCATTTGCTAACAAAATATAACGAACGCCATAGAAAGTGCCGCAGTGGAAACTATAGGAAAAGAAAGGAACAACAAGAAGAAAAACTAGTGGTTTGACCGTGCTAACAAAGCTTGCATCAGAAAGCAATCAAGAGGTTAGAGTTAATAACAACCTCTAGAGATGAGAACAAGGAAGACTACAGCAGAGTAAGGACTCAAACGAGAAAACTTTTAAGAAGAAAAAAGAAACAGTGTCTAGAAGCGCGAATACAGCAACTGGAGGAGGAATATAGAATCGGCCAGTCTAAACAGTTTTATAAGGAACTAAAAACAATGAAGGGCAACACGACCAACAGCCCAAGATTTATAAAAGACGATGCAGGACAATTGCTCACAAACGACTAGGTGATAAGCCGTCAATGGAGAAAGTATTTTGAGCAACTCTTAAATACTGAAAAACCCACAACGACAGGGCAACAAAGACAGTACCAGCTAGTCGCACCTGAAATACCAGGGCCCACACTAGCTGAAGTAAAGTCCGCAATTTCGTCCCAAAAAAATCATAAAGCCCCAGGCCCAGACGGCATACAGGCGGAACTACTACGAAAAGGGGAGAAAAGCTCCACCTTAAGATATATCATCTTATAAGAGAAGTCTGGGAAAGAGAAAAAATACCGAAACACTGGCATGAAAGCCATATAGTACCTATCTACAAAAAGGGAGACAAACAAATATGTCGGAACTAAAGAGGAATATCGTTAATCAATACAACGTACAAAACAGTATTATATGCATAATACTGTCTAGAAGACTTACTCCATACACAGGAAATGATAGACGACTACCAAAGCGGATTCAGACAGGGAAGGTCGACAATACACCAGATATTCTTTCTACGCCAAATCTTGGAAAAAAACTGAGAATTCAACCGCGGTATTAAAATGGAAATTTAAAATTTTATTTTTCACTATAACTTTTTTTGGGTGCTTTTGAGTATAAGGAATTATAATTTGATGTAGCTGATAGAGGGCGCAACATATGCCACATATTTGGCATAAAGCTTAACTTTTTTGCACTTCAAGGTTTTATATATATTTATAGTTTATTTTATATTATTTATAGTTTTAAGTCTTTAGTTAAATATGTTCGCATATTTTCATTTCCACAGTTCTCCATCCACTTTTTACACCTAGATTTTTAACAGGAAATTTAAATAACACCACACCATCTTTTTTCTCGAGAGATTACAATTTTTATACACACAACGTGTCCTTGTAATTTTAGAAGAATTCATTTTTCACCAAAAAAAAATAAATCGACTAGGATAAATTATAATACAAATTTCAAAATACACAGTTTGAATGTATGACATAGAGAAATAACAATAAATGTATGATATTATTCATAGATAAATAATATAATAGTAGAAAATATTATTTGGGAATTAAAGTGGGGAAGCAATATTTACATTGAGAATTAAGGGGAGGTAATATGAAGAGAAGAAATCTTTTATGTTTAACCGTAGTGTAATTTTCTCTCTCGAACATAGATGGCGACACGGTTTTTGAGAACAGAATAGTTGCTACATTTAATTTGTGTACGGCTGCAGATCTATTTAGGTTATTCAATCAACGCTTTAAGTAAGGGCTATTTATGTTAAAAATATTAAGGATACATTATTAAAAAAAAAACGTACACCTCTTTAATACAAAGAATCACTTCAAAACTGCAAAGTTTTCGAGATAATCGCATTTTAAAAATCAGCTGCATAATTCTGATTTAATGCAATTAGATAGGTACTCCAATAGTTTCCAAAAAATATTAAAGAAAATAAATACATTAGTAAGATAATTAATAAGTTCTAGGGAATTCAACCTTTATGTTATTTTAATAGAACTCTGTGAGCACAGTAATTCTTTAACAAATAGGTTTCAGAATTTTCTGTAAGATGGTGCCACTATTATGGTAGGCACATCACCCTCTCTCTCTAATGAAAAAAAAACATTAATGGCTTAGATTGTTGCAAAAGATTAATAATAATTTTATTTGCTCCACAACAGTCAACGAAATCTTATTTTGTAGAAAAGAGATAAACGTAACATACTAGTTACGCCATCTCTCACAAAATTTAAAAACCTGTTTGTATAGTTATGTTTATTTCGTAAAGATCGCCTTTTATTTTAAACATTAACTGGCAAGTTGTTAAAGTTGTTTTTATGTTTTTGTTTATTAACCATATTTCTCATGTGACCTTGCGAGTAGCTAGCTATGTAACATAGATTAAAAATTATCATATTGTATTTCAACATACTTTATATTATAGTTTTCACGATAAAGGTCAATTAAAACTGGATACTTATTTACGTTTTGTCACAATAAGGTTCAATGATAAGAACGAAAATCTTAACAATTCTCATTTTAAAACATTAATTAGTTAGGAGTTAAACAATATACTTACAGGTTATATCACTGTAATGATTTTAACAAAAATTTTAATTAATGGAGAAGGAATACTTAGTCTGTAAGTATTATAATAAGTTATTAATTTTCGTTTAAAAATATTAATACCTTTGTATAGTTTTTCCAAACAATATTATGGCGTTAGACGGAAAAGTACACTGAGAAAAATAGACAAGTTACTAATAGCCAATCGAGGAGAAATTGCTTGTCGGATTGTGAGGACGGCTAAACGATTAGGGGTCAGGACTGTTGCTGTATACAGTGATGTCGATGAGAAATCTTTGCATGTATCTTTGGTAAGTATGTACTTATTTAGTATGTAATTAGTTTAATCAAGGTGCATTGCTCTTTATCTTTCTTTCTTTCTAGTATTTTAATAAACTTTTCATAATGCGCAACTTTAGATGACAATATAAGGAGCTCCCTAACTTTCGCGTGATTGGTTGGTGGGTGGGTCCCAATTTAAAAATTGGCGGGTTTCATGTTTATTAAAATGACAATTGAGGTATTGTCATTGTGGCACAGTCTATGTGGGTAAACAATTTATTAGCAATATATTGTGGTATTGGTACAAAGCGGATGATATTCACATTTTAGGATTAAGCTGAATAGTAAAGTTTTATTAGAAATTAAAAGCTAGTGATGCTTTTTTTTATTAGATATATAGATGTTATTGTTTTAATTTTTTTGTTTCGGTAATTTTTTACTAAGATTTAGAGGTTCCTCTTATTATTTTTATTTCTAGAACATTCATTACCATTATTATTCTCATTAGCTTTCTCTATGTGGAATCGGCTTCTCTAAGTAATTTCTTCTAAACTTTTCTGTTCTCTTCCAGGGACTAAGTACCTCTCCGCTTTTTGTATGAGTATATGGATTTTCAGAAACATGTAATTTCTGTTCATCCCCTTTTTTACTGCCCTACATTCAGTACCATACATCATAGCTGGTCTAAAGGCAGTCCTATACAATTTACCTTTTAGTTTTCTTGGTACCTTTTTTATCACACATCAGTCAATTTGCCTCTTTCCTTTACCTTTAATTAAAATATTGTCAATACCTCAATTGTCATTTTAATAAACATGAAACCCGCCAATTTTTAAATTGGGACCCACCCACCAACCAATCACGCGAAAGTTAGGGAGCTCCTTATATTGTCATCTCGCAACTTTACACAATTTGTTATGTATATAGATTATAATGTTAGTGGTGTGGCTAAAAACGGTTTACAGTTAATAAAAAATTTATACTGCTAACAAAAGATCCAAATCAGAATTAATGGACAAATATCCAGTACTCTATATTTATCAAGGGGTCAGATAGGGCTGCGTTTTGTCACCTTGCTACTTAATGTATAGGTACTCATAACTTCTATTCCAACAAGTTCTAGAAGAAAATAGTAGCGGCATTCTTCTTCTTTAAGTTCCATCTTCTATCGAAGGTTGGAAATCATCATGGCTATGCGGACTCTGTTGACTGCCGCTCTAAAAAGTTCTGCACTATTGCATTCAAACCATTCCCTTAAGTTCTTAAGCCAGGATATTCTTCGTCTTCCCACATTTGTCATGTCATTCCCACATGTCCCAAGTACTCAAGTTTTCGTCTTTTAATAGTTAATATTATTTCCGCCTCATTTCCTATCCTTCTAGTTACTTTCATGTTTGACATTCTTTGAATCCATGATATTCGTAGGATTCTTCTGTAACACCAAAATTCAAAGGCGGCCAGCTTATTCAGATGAACTTGTTTGAGTGTCCAAGCTTCCAGACCATAAAGAAGAGTAGAGAACACGTAACATCGAAGCATTCTCAGGCGTAGTTCTAACCTTATATCCCGACAACAAAGAAACTTTTTAAGTTTAATAAATGATGTACGTGCTATTTCAATACGTGTCTTAATTTCTTTGGTTTGGTCTACATCTGATGTTATCCATGTTCCTAAATATTTATAGTTATTAACCTTCTCAATTGCAGTATCTTCAATAGTCAATTGGATATTTGCATGTGCAGATTTAGTCATGACTGTCACAGTAGCGGCATAAAAGTCTATAATTCTGATATCCACTATCAGCTATAAACCTATGCTGATCGCACTGTATTAAGTCATTGGTTCTTGTAAACTGTGTAACAGTCAATCTAGAATTTCGATGAAACATTCAACAAAAATATAAAAAACAGGAAGCAGATAATTGCGATGTACATATTAATAAATAGACTAGGCAAGGACGGCACCGATTGTCCAGAGTATAAACAAAGAATATAGACGTCCATAATGCGTCTATATTTTGTGGTATAAAGATAAAACGACAACATCACTTCGGAACCGGAACGAATTATGACGACATCGGTTAGGCTTTCGCCTATTGAAGATAGGGCTGCACTTGAACTTTTTACGGGAGACTTGGGTGGGAGCGAGTAATATCATCAGTTTCTAATTGAGTGTGGCAGAATTGCTAGAGGAAGAATTTAGGTGGTGAGTTAGCTATGTCAGTTTAGGAACGGCTCTTTGAATCAGCGTTTTTGGCATTGCAGATTATTAATATCTGCGATATCTTAGAGGATTAGCCTCTATGACGTTGTAATACTCATAAGAAAATCCATGGCCGGCCAAGTTGAAAGATTGGCTGGAAGGAATGGAACTTTTTGCATGTGTGTTTGGTGAGAATGTGTTCTAGGCAGTGGCAAGGGGTTTTTATGATCTCTTTTGCACTGGTGTTATAGAAAGTGTTGAGAACGGATACTGAGGTTAAGGAATCTGTTCTTTATTGTCGAGATATTGCGGCGAGTTGATGGATTAATGGATTAAAATTCTCCTCAGGATTGGTCTCTTTTAATTTAATGATATTAAGTTGGCGTTTATTTAGTGACGTATAGAGACGTAGTTTGTATTCGATAATTGGTATTATAGGTGTGTATGAGTGTGCTCCTAGGAGATTAGTTCTTCTTCTTACCAAATTTAGGGTGTTTTTCACCCTCTTTCATCATAGAATGTCATAAACATATGATTGTTGGATAGGCCAATAGGATAAGGCTAACCTGATCGCACTTATTTGGTTTAAAATTTTCTTTGTCTGTTCGTTCTAGCCATTGTTTATTGCTATTTGTTTAATAATATTCAATTTTATTTCGTAGTTGATGGAAAAGGCTTTAGACATTAGAGGTCACCATTAGTTCGTTCTGAGGGCGCCAAGAGGCAGAAATATACAAAACAGCCAATGGCGGTACGCTGCGCTGTAGCGAAATCAAACCTTAACTGTCTATTTTATTTTTATTTATTTATATAATTTGTCTATTTTTTCTTGCGTTCCTCTAGTTTTGTTTATAAGTGTATCAGAATATACTTTTTAGGCCGATGAAGCTTATAGAATTGGCCCAGCTACAGCCTCTCAAAGTTATTTAAGAGGAGATAAGTTGTTAGAAGTTGCGAAACAATCTGGAAGTCAAGCAATTCATCCTGGATATGGGTTTCTTTCAGAAAATGTTGAATTTGCTGAACGCTGCCAAAACGAGGGAATTATTTTCATAGGTCCGCCATCATCTGCGATAAGAGATATGGGAATTAAAAGGTATGTATAATAAATTATGTAACGTAAATGCCAAAATTCAATTTTTACTTTTGTATATTGCAGTACATCAAAAACTATTATGTCTGCAGCTGGTGTTCCTATAGTCGAGGGATATCATGGCGAGGATCAAAGTATAGAGACTTTAAAGAAGGAAGCTAGAAGAATTGGCTTTCCTGTCATGATTAAAGCTGTTAGAGGTGGAGGAGGAAAAGGTAAAATAAAAATATAAAAATTATAAAATTTTCTGATACACTGATAATTTTTTAACACCTGTATCCTTATAGTTATAAATAATTTTCATAATCATCAGATGTCTTTTCCATCCACTCACTATAAACTCTCTCAAATCTTTCTCATCATCCAGATATCTAAGGTTAGATCCTCCCATCTTCTTCTTTTCGGCTTGTTTAGCATATTTATTTAAGCATGGTCACTTCCATTCTTTCCCATCACGGGGACCACCCATCTTATGCGGTTTATTTTGATGTTTGTAACGATATTTTCGTTACTAAAAGTGTATAGAGTTTAGAGTTATATCGTCTTCTTAATAGCTACTGTTTGGTAACTAAGCCATATATGGTCCTCAGTACTATTCTTTTAAATATTCACAGCAACTCCTCCTCTCGCGTCGTCATTACCCGTGTTTCCGATCCGTTAGTGAGCACTGGGCGTACAAATACTATTAATATTTAAGCCAACTCAGCCACTTTAGCCCAATAATCTAAAGTACCGACCATATACGTCAGAGAATATTACTTTTTAAAGCCCGTGGCCGGTCTCAGCTTTTGTGGAGGAAAAGTGGGGCAGAAGACAGACTGGGCGGGGAAATCCTTAACCCCGACAGTCCCAGATGGCTGATAGGGGACGTCCTGTATATTATACAGGATAAGTGCGAATAAGCTTCGCTAAATAAGCACCCGCGGATCAACTGAGGACATGGTATGGGGCAGCAGCTATATTATATTACTAACTCCAAGGCTGGGGAAGAATTATTTCTTAATAGGCTTGGAATCAGATACTTATGGGCGACAATCAGATATTGGTTTAATCGGTCATAATACTGCGGTGTGTAAGGCAAGGAGAAACCAACACACTAAATATTCTCAAGATATTATAACTATGGCAAGTTACGGAAAACAAAAGGCCCCTAGTCCGTGGCAGACCTTAAATTGTCAAGGGGTGTTAAGAATCCCCACGACAAATGCTAGGAACCACCCGAAAGTGGAAAACAAAAATTATAATTTAAAAATTGGAACCTGGAATGCAAAATCTCTCTTTATGCCCGGAAAATCTCATAACATCGTGAAAGAAATGAAAAGAATGGGAGTCAACATTCTCGGAGTCATTCTCAACTTTCAGTAATGGAGAAGGCACCTTAAGGCTATTTAACTTTTTAAATTCATTAATATTCGGATTCCAGTCCCGTCTCTGAACTTTTTTTTCTCTTTCTGTACCTATTTAGTATCAATACATGACCATCACATGAACTTTGTTGATCTTTTCCCGACCTTTTTCACTACTATTTGTTACTTCATTATCCACTCGTTTTCGGAAAACCAACACAGCTAGCAAACTGAAAAATCAACAGGGAAACACTGTAACGTAACTTGTCTGAATGGGAAGTAGGGGATGGAAAGAAAAGAAGAAAACCAGCGTGTAGGTGTTTAGAAGGGTACAATGGTGAGATTTGGGACGTGGATCTATAGATTTGAATTATAGATGGATAAGGGACGAGTAACTTTGTCGAGGGACGAGGAAAACTCGACACTTGACCTATAAGAAGATTGGTTTAAGAAAGATAAAATAGGCTAAACCTCTAAAAAAACCATAGTCAAAAAACACATTTACCTTATAATATCTCTCTACATTTCTGTCAGATTTACTTTCTTATTAGCTACCAGAGAAAGGAAGATTAGAGGAGAATATTAAACAAATAATGGCTACAAATTAACAATTTCTCTTTCAAAATCCTGAAGCAGGATACTCCCCCTTTCTCTCTTAGATCTTCTTATATCATTCTTGTATTCAATTCAATTTAATTCGCTTCAATTCATTGACCTAGTTTGAATAAACCCAAACTAGTTTTTTATTATCATTATTTACTGTATTATCTTCACCTATTCTCCTATAATATATAGGTTGCAAAATTGCAACGTGATAGTATTGGTTTAATTTCTCGTGTTTTTGGTATTTCGTTTCAATTCTAGTTATTAATTTTTCTCTTTTCATTTTTATTCAATTATTATGTGGTTATGGTTTATTGATCGTCTTGTTTTGGTTAGCCAATAAACTAACCAGCTTCAATATAATCATAATTTATAATGTATACTTTTTAGGAATGAGAATAGCCCTCACTGAACAAGACTTTGAAGAAGCGTTGGAGTCTGCCAAAACTGAATCTCAAAAGGCATTTGCTGATTCTGTAGTATTATTAGAGAAGTTTGTTACTGAGCCGAGACACGTTGAAGTTCAAGTTTTTGCGGACACTCACGGAAATGCCGTGCATTTATTTGAAAGGGATTGTTCTGTACAAAGAAGGCATCAAAAAATTATAGAAGAAGCTCCAGCGGTAAATTATCTTAGAAAAATTTAAATAATTTTATGTGCAATTTAACAGTGCATATTTAAAGTATCTACCTATAACTATTTTCTGATTCATAAAACTCATATTGATAGATTTTGAGCACATATCTAAAAACGGCAGCAACTTTCAGCGTAGCTTTTACGATATTTCAATTAAGTAATAAATAAAAGACATAGCCATAGACATGCATATTGAAGACGAACGTATTGAAAGAGTACACCGATTTAAACATCTGGGATATACAGTAAATGACAAGTGGGACCCAGAAGTAGAGATTAAGATCCGAATTGAACTAGCAAGATCCAAATTCATCAAAACGAGAAAGCTTTTAAGCAACCGCAACCTAAGCATTAACCTCCGATGGCGCGCCACGAAATGCTACGTACTCTCTACGCTACTTTACGGCGTAGAAGGGTGGACGTTAACAGCAGCAACTACAAAGAAGTTAGCGGCTCTAGAAATGTGGCTGTATCGACGCATACTGAGAATACCTTGGACAGACAGAGTGACCAACACAGAGGTATTAAGACGAATGGGTAAAGAGGTGGAATTGGTAACAACTGTTAAAAGGAGGAAAGCGTCATACCTGGGCCATGTGTTCCGTAATGATAAGTACAGTTTACTACAGCTTATCGTGGAAGGCAAGATTGAAGGTAGAAGAGGTTTGGGCAGAAAGAAAAAATCCTGGCTGAGAAACTTGAGAGAATGGTTTCAAATACCAGAAGCTGCGAACATAATTCATGCGGCACAAAACAGAGAAACCTATCGTATGATGGTCGCCAACCTTCGGTAGAAGACGGCACATAAAGAAGAAGAAGAATAAATAAAAATGGCAGGCATGCACCATTTAATAAAATTATTTTAAATGAAATCATATGGCAAATAATATATCATTAGCTCTTGTGTCACCTCAGTATGTTCCTAGATTTAGTTGACATTGTCACACTCTTTTAGTGGTGACACTCGTGTATTTAAGATGGCGACCATTTAAATATTAGCAGTGTGAAAAATTTAAAATTTTTATTGATTTTGTTCTTCCTTCATATACTTTAATTGTTGTTTTGGCTTCCTTATATATATATATATCAATATAAGGTTGAATGTTCGAATAAATGAACTTTGATGGCACAGAAGGCAAATATCGACAGAATGATGAGATTCTGTCTCCGGCTTCTATATAAAATGTAGCTTCTCCAATTTTTAAATTTTAAAGTGTTTGTTTGTCTTTGTTTAGTGTATTTGTTATGTCCCAATTTACATTTATGACATTCTGTTACTGCTGGATAGGCCACAACTGACGAAATGCACCTGAGGATGATCTTGTGATCGAAAGTACTTGGGCAAGATTTGATTAATTACTGTGTTCGATATTTGCCTTGTGTACCATCAAAGTTCATATATATATATATATATATATATTATATATATATATAATATATATATATATATATATATATATATGTTAGTACAATGAGACCTAGTGCTAAGATTAACATTATTATTACTGAAATTAATATCAAACTCACCAATCTTCCGGGTTGAACCGCGTCGATATCCATTTTGCCGAGCTTTCGGCATCCTCTCTGATGCCTTCCTCAGGGCTTCCGAGGTCTCAGTCTCCCGAGCCCCCAGTCACTACTACACTGTTCACTGATCACTGCGCTGTCACTACTACAGAAGGCTAATAAAAGCTGAGTTTCTCTATCACAGGAGCAGTGTGGCTTCTCAAGGCTTCACAAAGTCTTACAGCTCTCGGAGGAGAACCAATGCTTTCTTTCGTGCGCAAAAGGACATTAATTGACGCTTTTTGCCAGAAAATAGTTAAGTAAAGAAGTCTTTAGATATGTACTATAAAATACCACGTGTTTTGTTGTTTTAGCCTGGTCTTTCTCCAAAATTACGGAACGAACTTGGCATGGCTGCAGTTAGGGCAGCTAAAGCTGTTGGTTACGTGGGAGCTGGTACAGTTGAATTTATTTTGGACAAGAAATCTCACGCTTTTCATTTTATGGAAATGAACACTAGACTACAAGTAGAACATCCTATTACCGAAATGATTACAGGTAATATTATTAAATTAAAAAGTGTATTATTATCCCAAATTCCTTGTTGTTCGTGCTTGTTATGGGTGTAGTTTGTAATTGATTGACGTGATCCAGATAATATTTTAAATTAAGAAAATATATTTAACCTGTAAATATTTTCAGAATTTCTTCCTCTGTTTTCTCTTTTTCGGTTTTCCCTATTGCTACTCCCAAGTAGCTAAAAGTGAGGAGGTACATAATAACCTTTAATACCATGAATGCCAACTTCGAGAGAAAACTAGTTTGTAGTTTAAATGGTTTTTGACAATTATATTGCCAACGTAAAAATTAAAAAAGAAGACAAAAAAATGTTATTCATAATACCCGAAAACATTTAACAAGTATATGGAAATTAGAAATACAAATGTAATGTTTTGGTGGTTTTATGAATGAATTATAAAGAAATAATGTAATAATAAATTTTACATAGCTTTTCAATTTCTGAGCTTTTATTTAAATTATAATCAATTTTGTTAATACACAGTAATGCTAACAAAGTCCTTTTGAATTTATTATCTTCCTTACACAAAAATCAATGACATGATCTTTAAAATATCATATTTGTTTAAACAGATTTTTCCAAAATTTCAAACAAGATATAATATTAAGTTTGCCAAGTGAAAGAATTTTACTCTTTGACTAAGAAAGCTGTTTAGTTGTAATATGCGCTTATTGTGCGTTTTAGGTACTGATCTTGTGGAGTGGCAAATTAAAGTGGCGTCAGGAGAAAAACTACCATTGGCACAAGATGAGATTACTTTAAATGGTCATGCCTTTGAAGCCAGGATTTACGCAGAAGATCCTAGAGGTGGTTTTCTACCTGGTGCTGGTCATCTATCTTACGTTTCCACACCCGAAGCAGCAGATGATACTCGAATTGAAACTGGTAAGTATTCAAATATTTTTTATTTTATTGTATACACAACTTGTCCCTTTAAAAAAAAAGTAAGGTAAATAATTGGACATTTCTTGATTATTAAAGGTTGAACAAAAATATTATTAAACAATTTTGTTCTAGTCTAACGTATAATATATAATTTTACGTACAGATTTGCTTTTAAATATGTCACTGACGTAATTCAAAAGAATTGGTCCTCTTGCAACTTCATCATTATCACTGGCTCGAAAACCCTTTTTGGATCTTGACCTATCCCAGAAATTTTCTCCATTCTGGCCTGTTTTTTCGCCGTGTTTTTCCCTCCAATTTTTTATTTTTAAGATTATTTTATAGGAAAAGGAAAGTCAAAGGAATGGGCATACAATTAAACGATCAGGATTACATATATACTTTGCATTTTGCAGATGATTAGGTGGCAATCTCAAATGACAAAGACGACATGGAATACATGCTTAGAAAACTAATTGAAGAATACCAAAAATGGGAATTAAATATCAATTTAGAAAAGACAAAATACCTCTCAATTGGAGCTGAAGCAGAACAACTCGATATCGATGACAATCAAAAAATAAATCCATGTGACGAATATAAATACCTGGGCGTCATCTTCGACAGTAGTGGAAAAGACGAACGAGAAATAGAACATCGAATTGTACAATCACGAAGAGCTATAGCGTGTTTGAACAGAGTTCTATGGAGTAAAGAAATATCAAAGAAAAGAAAATAGAACATCTATGAGACAATGGTTAAAACTAGCCTACTTTATGGAACCGACACATGGAGAATACCCGAGAAATATAGGAAAAAGGTCGAAGCCACGGAAATGGATGCCATCAGAAGATCGATGAGAATATCAAGAGCCGACAGAATACGGAATGAAGTGATAAAACAACAAATGGGTATAGCTATAGTTGAGGATATTGAGAGAAAACAGCTCATATGGTATGGGCATGTGAGCCGAATGGGGGACGAAAGACTGCCTAAAAAAATGATGATGTGGCAACCCCCAGAGAAGAGGAAACGAGAAAGACCACCACAGAGCTGGAACTTGGGAGTTAGGAAAGCGATTAGCGCTCGAAATCTGGACGAAGACCTAACTCAAGACATAAATAAATTCGGTTATAAAACCGAATATATATTATTTTATATCATTTTCTATTTCTTCTTCTTCCTCTTTATAAGCAATTCTCCTTTTGTTTATTGGTGGATTGATAGATCTATGGAAGGTTGTCACTCTATCTTTTCTCCGAATGTCTGATATTTCTTTTACATATTGGGGTTTATATATTGCTATCTTGACAACGTGGGTCTCCCCCACTCTACTTATGTGGTTATTCCATTTTTTTTCTGTTTGGTGTCCATTTATTTATACACTCTACGTTACAATTTTCTTCAAATGGCTTCATTCCTCTATCAATCTCTCTGCCGTTTCCAGCAGTCTTTGTGTTATCGGGTCTTGTTTCTGATGCATATGTCATTGTTGGTCTTACACTGACTGAAAATTGTTGACTTTATCAAAGTGATAATATATAAGTTTCGCCATATAGTGTTAAAAGAGCATTCTGCCAGTTTATTTGCTTTTTGTACTAGGTCTCTACTTCTTTGTCCAGGTCCGTGGACCTGTCCATCGCTGGACCGTGTAGTTCCAAGGTAATTTGATTTCCATTACTTCCTTAATACTGATCTCATCGATTTCTATTTTATATTTGATTGGTTCTTTGCTGATTACTGTTGTTTCAGTTATCTGAGTTGAGATTGTCATATTAAATTCTTTTGCTTTTATGTTGAATCTGTGGACCAGTCTTTGCCAACTCCCTACATCTTGGGCTACAATATTGTGGTGCCTGCGTAACAGAGTATTTTTATTTCTTCGTTTTACATTCTATATCCTCCTCCTTTGTTAACTCTTTTGATGATTTCAAGCATGATCAAATTAAAGAGTATAGGGCCCAATGAGTCCTTGTCTTATTCCGCTACCTATGTCTATAGGCTCTGTAAGTTGTGTATTTATTCTGACTTCCATTTTGTTGTTTTGATAAATGTTTTCAATAGTTTTTATAATATCTAGGGGAACTTCTCTCTTCATATGCTAAGCTTATCCACCGATTTTAAGAGGTAAATCTGGTGACTGAATCATCTAGTTCAGATCAAAATGGCAAAATTTTCACACTTCAAAAGTGTTTTACAATCTGTTTTTTATATCTTTTCGTGCCTAACTTCCCTCTTTATTTCTTATGAGTAGTTATATAATAAACCTTTTTAAGCGTTCGGTTGGTTTCCCTCGTAAATAGATTCCTTTTGGTATGGTTAGTAATACATTTTAACTGGTGTTATTATTTATTTAATGTTGTTTTATCAGCTGGTATTCGATAGTGTTAGATAGATAGATAGATAGATAGATAGATTGAGAGAGGTGGTCCTTTGGCCTATTCCTCTGCGACCTTTTCAGATCTATTGTGGTCCTCTAGTCCTAGATAATAGTCTCTAGCCTGACCCTTTTTAAAAAGTCTAATAGCTTCGAGACTGTACCTTCCATGTAGTTATTTGCCGGTGGATTTTCTTCTCATAATGCAAAGAACCGTACATTTACCAGACTGTCACACCGCCATAGAATGTGCTCTTTGTTTCTTCTTAGAGGTCACAGAATCTGCACAGGTTATCATTTGATAATCCCATCAACTTCAAGTACTTATTCAGCTTGTAGTGCCTTGTTAGAAGACCTACTATGGCTATGACTGTTTTCCTGTATGTGCTTATTAGGTCTGCCGTAAATTTTGGCGAACGTTCTGTAATGAACTGTTTTGCCTTTCTTGTCTTGGTGAATTCCTCCACCATTCTAGAGTTTTGTGAGCTACCCACTTCCTTGTATCCGTTCTTGTTACTGTCTTTGCAACGCCGCAGAAGGGTTTCGGTCCAATAAATGGCAATAATGAGCCTTGTTTGGCCATCTCATCTGCTTTTTCATTGCCCTTATCACCCTCGTGATAAGGGTCATGCCTTTATATTTCTTCCGCTCAATGATGGATTGCCATTATTTCTGCCTGGAAAACTGTCACATCCTTAGATGCTGGCTTTCACACCTTCCGATGTTTTTGAGCCATCCGTGTACCAGGTAGCAGCAGCTTATATGGGCACATCTTTATTCCAGTCTTTCCCTCCTGGTATCTTAATTGTGAACTTATTGTTAAAGCTATATCTCGTAGCTGTTGCATCGATAAGTTGCCCCATCACAATATCGACTTTTAACTCCTCGATTAGCTTTTTGTTGTCAGCACCATAAATCTGGCTTATATGTCGCTCACTCTGGATTAATCTGTGCATCTCTGATCTGGCTTCGCCCTGTATAAAGGTATGAAGTGGTGGTAGATTTCTCGGTAGTGTTACGATTTTCCTCTGATTTTACTGTTTCTTAGGTTTGTTAAATATTTTGACCAGATTTATTTCCTTGTAATTTTCAAATTATAATTACCATTATATATAATTGGAATAAACAATATTTTTAATGGTTTTATTTCACAGGTGTTAGGCAAGGAGACGAAGTTTCAATTCATTATGATCCAATGATTGCAAAGCTTGTAGTTTGGGGAAAGGAGAGAGAAGAGGGTCTTTCAAAACTTAAGGCAAAACTAAGAGAATATAACGTAAGCATTTCATGTATGTTATTTAATATTTATATAGTGTTAACATAAATAAGTCATATAAGTTATGATATGTTACATTTTTAGTGAGTTTATTCCTTACTCAATTCAAAAACGTTTTATTTCCTGAAAATACTTAAGTGGGAGCTTTTTATAATAAAACAAACCCCCATGGCTGTTGACCGTCGGGCCAAGAAGGGTGTGGATTACTTTTGACAATAGAACTCTTCAACGCAACATGTAATAGTAATAATATTACATAATAGTTGATTTGTTAAATAGGATTTTTTATTAAAATGCCATGAGGCTAACTATAAATTGCAATACAAGATTATATCTAAACTTCCATGCATCCCTTGCATATCCAACTTCTTCTTCTTCAAGTGCCATCTCCGCGGCGGAGGTCGGCAATCATCATAGCTATTCGGACTTTTGAGACGGCTGCTCTGAAAAGTGCATTTGATGTACATCCGTACCACTCTCTCAAGTTGCGCAGCCATGACATTCTACGCCTCCCTATGCTTCTCTTTCCTTGGATCTTTCCCTGCATAATCAATTGGAGCAGGGTGTATTTCTCTCCAGTGTAATATGTCCGAGATATTCCAATTTTCTTGTTTAAATTGTATTTAAAATTTCAATTTCTTTATTTATCCTTCTCAGAACCTCTCTGTTTGTGACCTGTTCAGTCCACTATATTTTCAGAATTCTTCTATACACCCACAGCTCGAACGATTCCAGTTTTTTCATCGATGTCGCATTCAAGGTCCAAGATTCCATTTCATAAAACAAAGTCGAAAAAACATAGCACCTTGCCAACCTAACTCTTAGTTCCAATTTTAAATCCCGAGTTAATCGTTGTTGTCAGATATGCATATTTGTCCACTTTCGACATTGCTTCCGTTTATTAGTTTTTTCTTTTCTGTTTTTACTGTGTTTAAAATTTCCATTTCTTTATTCATTCTTCCAAGAACTGCTTTGTTTGTGACGTGTTTTGTCCACGATATTTTCAATATTCTTCTGTACACCCACAGCTCTAATGATCCAACTAGTTCATTCCAAACCAAACCATTTATGAGTTCTTTATGAGTCTTTGCCAAATTAAACAATTGATTCACCATAGAATATTCATCCTTATAACCTGCCTTTAATCTACTAAAATTCTGATTCTGCTTACTTTTTATTTCTGCCTAATAACCATGACGAATTCAGTTGTACATTAAATGATTTGGTGCACCTTTCTGGTACAGAGAGTATACTGTCAGAATCACCCTTTATATTTAAATTTATGTTTAAAAAGCGCACATTTATGTATAGAAGTCGACATGCCCCAGCGGTTTTTAAAGTTTTTTAAAACGAGGACAGAAATAATTTAATTCCATAAGTGGTTTCCACACCGTATAATATAATATCTATAAAATATATAATTTATAATCAGTGGACTTCAAACTATTCTCCTCGCCTTTTACACTGGTACTGCTCCCAACTCCATATGGATAATTACACCTTTTACTTACGTTGTCACCATCGTTAGATCCAAACTGATGTTTCAGTCTTCAGTACAATTTTTCAGTGTCGTTATCTGTACCACACGTTAAGCCTAACTGATTATACAGGAGTATCTCACTGACTCTATCCAGACTTATCCAATATAAGTTTAAATATGATTTTAGTGTTCGTTAATGTTTTTTTTATCAATTTTCTTAATATTGTAGTTTTACACCTTACCTCATTTGTACAGCCTTGGTTAACATGATTCTTCGTCTATTTAAGTATATTTGTATTTTTTAAAATCTGTGCTATATCGCCATTCCGAGGAATATGGGAAACAATGGGACTATTTAACCTGGAAGAACCTAGCTAAATATTAAATAAAAAACAAAATAAATATAGTAATCTAGTGGACATAGACTGTTGTTTATTCTAATCTCTTGGGCGATCCCAATAATATCTTTAAAAAATCTGTTGATACCAGGAATGCAGAGTTCTCTACTAAAATGAAACAAATCTCTGAATATGAAATTATATATTCGTTATTCCCCTTCCTAATCTGTCAACATTAATTGCTTCACTATATCACTTGTTCTCATATCTCCCAATTTACCAACAAGATCAGCAACGAATCTTCAATAGCACTACCCGTTACTTTCATTAATTACTTCCTCTTAATCTCAAAATTTTCGCACCCGGGCGATTTATATTATCTTTAGTTGCTACATTATTTCATTTTTTTATTTAAAATTTGGTTTAATCTGGCTTACAACGATTTTTTCGAGACGCTTTTTAAATCTTCCTTATTTATCATGGCCATATTCCTAGGTCGCTTATGGTGTCCAATTAATAATGTATCAATGTCTTTCCTTAATTAAAAATAAAAAATTAATACATAAAGATTAAAGAACCAATTGATCACAGTACCATCACAAGACCAATTTTTTCCGAGTTTATGTGCCGTAGTCTGGAATTATTTTTTCCTGATGTTTTGTCAGCGACAGCGACTACGTCATTTTAAGAAACAAAAGAAATCATCACGGCGGACTTACACACAGTGGGAAAGTATTTCCGTAAATGGAGGCTTTAATAAAACGCTACCAAAACAGAGGTTTGTAGTTTCCACCTAAATAATAAGCTTGGAGGAAGAACACTCAACATCCAATTCGAAAACACCATACTCGCCTACAATAAACCAATAAAGTACCTTGTGGCGACTCTTAACAGAACCCTATCTTTCAAGGAACATCTGTCAAAAACAGCGGAAAAATTTAAATCCAGATATAACATCATCCAGAAGCTGTGCGGCACAACATGGGGAGCATCGGCTTCCACTTTGCGATCATCTGCCCTGGGCCTTGTCTTTTCAACCGCGGAATACTGTTCTTCAGCCTGGCTTAACAGCCCACATATACACGAAGTAGATGACCAATTGAACATTACAATAAGAATGATTGCTGGCGTTATCAAATCCACCCCTAAGCAATGGCTCCCAGTACTAAGTCACATTCCACCACCTAAACTACAGAGCATACACCCCTCACTAATGAGTACAGAAAGATACTTCTTAACGAGATCCTGCCAATCCATCCAAGATATAGATGCTGCCAACGCAGTGGTGCACCCAAGTGGGTTTGGGGGGATATAACCCTCCCGGACGATTCCGACACAGTTATTTACAAATTTTAAGGACTTAAAATGGTGGACGTAGCATAAAAAATTTCGGTGGCATTTCGTTGCCCATCCAACCCCCCACCCCCCTAGAGGAAAATTCTAGGTGCGCTGCTATGCCAACGGTAATCGTCTACGCTCTAGATGACCGCCAATAAAAAGATAACAGACTGCTGTGGAAAATAAGTTCAACTTAACGACCACTTGGACTCGAGAATGGATGGAACATCACATACAAAAACCACCAGTTTTTGACTTACCACGCAACAGATAAACTATACTGAACCAAATCAAAACCCAACACGGCAGATACATGATTCACAAATGGGGTAAACGATCATCCCCACTCTGTTACTGCGGACAACCACAAACCATCTGTCACATCACTCAGATCACAGAACGGTGTTCTACTACAAGATCCTATCATGGCAGGGCAGAGGATTTCCTAAAGGCGAGTCCAGAGTCGATAGACTATATAAATAAGTTAGATGTTCGTTTGTAAACATAAATATGTAGTATGTATTATATGTATTATATACAATATATATGTAAATTTAAATGCAAATGTGTCAAGTGCCATATGATAAATAAAATAAATAAGCGACTGTGGTAGTAAGCGACGGTCTAGAAAGCTGTAAAATAATATATCACAAATGTTTTTATTGTACAAAATAATAAAATGTCCTTTATCCTCTTTGTAGATTGCCGGTTTAGAAACAAATGTAAATTTTCTATTGGACCTTGCAGACCACCCCGAATTTAGTGCTGGTAACGTTCATACAAACTTTATTAGAGATCATTATGATACATTATTTAGAAAAGAAAACCCATCTATAGCACAATTATGCCAGGCAGCTATAGCAACAATATTAATAGATAGAGATTTAGAAAATGGAGAAGCAATTGCACGAAAAGATCAGTATAATCCTTTTACTGTAGAATCAAGTTTTAGAGTCAATTATGAACACGATAGAAAAATTAAATTAAAATTTAAAGATACTGGTAAGTTGAAATATTAAGTAAGTCAAACTAAAATACATAATATGAAGCATGATTTTAAAACGGATCTATTTATTTATCCTACCTAATTTTTTGAACGTTGCACATATATCTTCTCTTGACTATTTTGCAGGTATTATTTACTGTTTGTGTAATCTATCATGCTTCGGCAACGATAGTGCGTATTGCCTGAGGTCTCTTTCTTATTGCTCTCCCTAGTTCCGTAAAGAACCGATAGTTAAGTTCCAGGACACTTTGAATAGTGTAGGGACGTCGTCACGATTCGCAATGTGGTTGGCAACATTGTTTAACATAACTCGCTTCCACTTCAGCCGGCTTGTCTCATCCTAAATTGTTTCACAAAGTTACGGCTATATTTGTATGATGAGTTTAGAAAAATAAATTTAAACTATGTAAAACTTACTAAAACTCCTCATATATTGAAGGAGGTATTTGGAGATAAATGTTCAAGTCAGTAGCAGTATCGTGAGTGACTCAAGAGATTTAAAAAAGGTCAGAAGTCATCATGAAGAGTCTTATGCGATCAAATTGTTGTAAGGTCATTCGTAAGATGGCTGAGAAAATAGCATTTCATTTGGTTCATTCTGTAATTCCGTAGCTTTAAAGTTGTTATTGCGCCTCTTATATTCTTATGTTAACTACAAGTCTCATGAAGAAACTAATGTGAATACAGATTTTACTTTACATTTGTAAATTTTAAGATAACGAGAAGTCTTAAAAATATCCTTGTTCTCCTGTCAACGGAATAATTAAGCCTCCTAAAGGATCTCTTACCCCCAAATCGAGCCTTTGCCTACTCCAAACTATGCCTCCAACCTTGCCGGTCTTGCGCCTGTCAAATCTTGTCTGTTTAAAGGGTCAAAATGCCCTCACTCCAGAATTCAATTTTTTCATTTCTCTTATCCTATGTGATTAAAAAATAAGGCTCAGTGCAATTTTAGCTTGCCACTCCCTCCCCCACCCTATATCCCCTATTGATCTATTTTCTAATGGGGTTTCTTTTAGTTTCACTTTATCCTGAGAACAAAACTGGTTTATTGCCACCTTCCATCTTGTATTTTTCTCCAAACTATAAAGCATTTATGTTTTTATTGTTTTTTCGACTATTTTATAGGCTCTTCTCAGATGTCTTGTTCTAGTGCTTCGCATTAAAGTTTTTCAGCATTCTCTTTTTTAGCATTTTCTCTCTTGTATATTTTCTTCTTTGGAATCTTTCTATTTTCTCTATATTCATTTTTTGCTTCTTCACTTTGGCCTCTTTGTGCTCTCCTTTGTGTTTCTATGCATTTTTTTCGTAAGGTGTTTATTTCATAGGAACCGATCAAAACTTTAGCACCATTGCCACTGTTTTCTTTGTTATTACAGTGTAGATGTTTTAACTGCTAAATTGGAAATCGTTGGACTGCTTCTGCCCATTCTCATTATAATCGATAATAGTTTAATCCTATACATAATAATATCTAAAATATACCTTTGTTATAGATATAATGGTGACTAATAGGTTTAATAGAGACAATAGATTCAGCCTTTCTTGTGATGGTGGAAAAACGTACATAGATGCTCATGCAACTATTACAAAGTTCAATAACAAAATTATATTAACCGCCACTATCGATGATATAATTTATAAAACTAATATCTATAGAAACGAAGAAGTGCTTGCTTTGTTTGGTCAGGTAAGTTGACAGTCATTTTAATTTGTAATATTTAATTCTATTTTAATCTTAGAAGATAAGTTTTAATATTATATTATATAGCACAAACAATAACCATATTATACACATATTAAAGACAGGACATAATGGGGTAACCATAATAATAGACAATAGAATTTCGAAGTATATCAGGCAATATGAAACAATAAACGATATACTCATACAAATAACATAGGAAGTCATACGAGAAAATGTCTACGTCATTCAGATATATATATATATATATATATATATATATATATATATATATATATATGCACACAACAGATGCTCCAGATGAAGACATTGACGAAATTTACAAGATAGAAAACATCTTAAAGAGAATCCCACACAAGGAGCCAGTAGGTATATGTTATTGGAGACTTTAACGCCAAGGGGAAAAACTGAAAATGAACCACATTTGATAGATATTCATCTTCTAGAGTTACTCTACTACTGTTCAGGCCACAACTTTAAGCCATTCAAGACCAGAAAAATTACTGCTTAGAATTATATAAAGGCACTTCAGAAGATGAATCAGTCTTAGAACACAAGAGATATGCAATCAAAGAGGCAGAACCAATCATTTTACGAGCAGAAGTAGGGAAGGCTCTCAACCAACTAAGAAATAAAAACCGGCTAAGCTGGATAAGCAAAGAATTCGGACTTAAGTTCAACACCGCAAAACAAAAATAAAAATCCTCGATAGGACAAATAATAATCTACCTCACATGGACCAAGTAGTGAATCTAGAAGTAGTAGACAGATTTGTATACTTGGGATCCCTGATAACCAACAATGGCGGTAGCTCGGAAATCAAGTGTAGACTAGCATTGCTTAGCTTTGTGCCCTCCAAAATGAATTGGCAGGACCCTGGTCTACCTGGCCTTTCGGCATACGACCGTTAGCGCTCCCACTGCCCCTACGAGTCCGACACCAATTGGAGGTGGCACGATGCCGAAACATCGTGGGGCTCCACCTCCCCCGTAGTACCTGTGTTGCGGGTCACGCCACCCTTCCGTGAATCCTCCCCCCGGAGGCGGAAAGGCACGCAGGTGGTGGAATACCACCTCGCACGTAGACAGGTCGCCGCCGAGGAATCACTCCTCTACCACTCGTTAAATCATTCCGAGGTGTGGTACGTGCTGGGTCTCCCGCTCCCCTTCCGCGGTGTCAGCTTTCGGGGAGCCTCCGTACCTGGCTCGTTCAACCACACCCGGCTCTTGTGGAAAATGAGAGTGGAGTGGTCCCACGAGGTGCTCGTCTCGGATACTAGGAATGTAGACCGGTGACTGAGATGACTAAGCATCTCTGTGCGTTTCTACCAACCCGACACCTCAAACGACGGCCCTCCACCTCTCATATCCGCCCATTAGTCGCCTCTTACGACAGGCAGGGTTCTGGCCCCGGCCGTATTCTTATCTCCTCGAGCCGGAAGGAGGTGTAGACTAGCAGTGGCCCGAACCGTAACAGCTATATTAATTAAAATATGGAAAGATCAAACAATAACAAACAACACTAAACATAAGTTAGTCAAAGCCCTTATTTTTCCCATTGTTACACACGCAGCTGAAATATGGACTCTCACAAAAATTGATAGAATTAGGATCGAAAACTTCATGTGGGTCTACAGAAAAATTCTAGGCATGTCCTGTACAGTACGCAGAACCAACCTGTCAATTCTGGAAGAGTTTATTATAAAAGATAGACTATTAGATAGAGTGTCACCACATCCTGACAAGGGCTCAAGAATTGAAGTGGAGGATATAACAAACATTTGCATCTATAATACTGCCGCTTATAGCATCCGATGCGCCATAGATTTTTTTTGTACTAGAAACCTTGGTGGACTGCTGTACTTCTTATTTCCATGAGAATGTTTAAAAAATCGATTTTTGCGTGGACTTTTTCTTTTATTTATTTGTTCTAGTTTTAAACTCGTAATAGAGGTTTTTTGTCACTTTTAAACTTTTAATGGTAATGTTTTTTAGTAATTTAAGATAGTGTGGTGTAGATTTAGAAACGTATGTAAACGATACGTAAGATACTCATTGTAGAGTATATTGTTTGTGCATATACACACATCAAAAATGTCTAAGAAACATTACTATTATTCCAATTTTTTCCATAAAACTCAAACACTTTTTTGTCAATGCATACCATTCGATTTGAAAACTTGTTCTCTACAAATCAAGGTATGCCACGAAAATTAATCTGTCAATTTCAATGTTTCATTAAGGCAAAAGTAAATTCGTACGATTATTTGCTTCAAATTTTAAGGCTAGTCTGTATTTACTTTAAAATTTTATTAAAACAATATTATTAAACACAAAAGTAATCATAAAAAGTCGGCATTTAACACATATTCAAATGATCACTGTCGTGAATATGATTCAGACTAGTCTGTCACAAGCTGATGTTGCATGATTGCATGTCATTTTGATGTGTATCAGAGCATGATTTCGCGATTGTGGCGTCGATATAAACAATTTGGTAATATGTGGTACTTCCATACATGGAGGTCTTCAACGTACAAATACTATGGGTATAAGTATGTGGTAGGATTATCTCGTCGACATATGTACACAACTGCACGTGAATTTCGTAGAGAGTTGGAAAATACCCCAACATTACTGTACCTGTCCAAATTTTGAGGAAAAGATTACATGAAGCTGGCCCGTACTCCAGACTTCCATTGAGGGTCCCCATGTTATGTCATGGAAATCGTGGATTGAGATTAAGGTCGGCACCACAACTAGTACATTGGGGCTTTTAAAAATAGAGTTAGGCGTTATTCACAGGTAAAGCTAGACTTTGTATCTATCCTGATTCAAGAAAAGTGAGGGTTTGTAGAGGACGTGGTCGACAAGAGAGACTCAGGAATGTACAGGATGTTCGTGCATATAGTGGTCAACAAGTTATGATTTGGAATAGAATAATTTTTCATTATCGTATTTGTGGAAGACACTTTGAATCAATATCAATATACGGGTCGCATCTTAGAACCTGTTGCCTTTCCATTTGCCACTACTGGAGGTCCTAATTTGCGTTACTCACAGGAGAATATAAGGCAATATACTGCAGCAACAGTAAGCGGTTGGTTTTATAATGAGAATATTACACTTCTACCCAATCGCTAGATCTTAAGGCTGTTTTATCGGTGCACCAAAATCTAGGGACTGTTATTTACCGACAAAATGTCTCGAAATTTGGACACAATATTCGAAATTATGTTACTTTTAAAATGATGGTTTTATTTTTTAAATTTTTTTGAAAATTCTGTTGAAAAATTGGATTATACTGTTTAACGTTCAAGTATAACCAAACTTTTTACGCCCATCACTTGAAAGAGTTTTTTTTTTCTGTAATCGTTTATTTTTTTTTTCACCTTTCTGTGTCCAGTAATAATCGAAAAAAGCGTGTTCCAACTTTGAAGAAAATGGCTAAAAAATACTAAAATCTAATAGTGAAACGTGTTACTGATCATTGTCGTTTATTTTCACCGTTATCGACTTCGTGACGTCAAATCTCATGAACGTACGGTCAGTTAGTTCGTGTTAAAACTAATTTGAATGGAGAGTAATGCAGTTGTTATCATTAAACTAGCCGTCGGCTGCGCCGCTGAGTAAAGATAGTCTCGCGTAAGCAGTGTAGAAAAGTAAGTGATACGCCCATTTCAAATCGCAGTGTGCTTGAACTGCTAAAACAGATTTAATTCCATCGAGCATGCTTCAGAGACGAATAATTTGTCTATATTTCTGCACAATTTTCATATTAGACCAGGCCTTTAAGATCTTCTTGCATAAGAACTGGACTTATTGGCTTAAAACAAAATGGATAATATAATTTTAAGCATGCTAAGGCGGTGTCAAGCATTAATTATTGCTACTGGAGGAAACGCACATTAATAAAAACGTTCTTTGTTAAATTTTTATGTTTTATACTGACTTTTATATCAAAAATCTCCAATAAATTAATACACTTGATATCTATATGAAAAAAAACTTATTCCTTAGACATTTTTGGTGTGTTTATATATGAAACAATTTGTGTATATTTTAATGTCGAACAAATATTATTTAACTTGTATAATGTAAAGTAAAATAAAAATTACTTATAATGTAAAACATATTGAAATGAAAATTTAAATAAATGCCGAAATTAAATAATAGATTTGAGAAATACTGAGACAACGTATCAAAAGGATATGAGAAGGATAACTAACGACACTTCTATGGATGCAGATGCCGAGGAAAGCCTAGAAGGTGGTGACTACGTAGAAGAAGAAATAAGTTATTATCAACAGGTCCTCGTAGACACTTCGTCTCAGGACCATTTTACTTATGTAGAGTCATACGCCGCCATGTTACCTATCCAACGGTAACTTAAACATCACAAATTATAACTATTAATAATGTAAAACAACTACAAATTTAAAACATTTAAAGGGTTTTGACCCATATATTTTGGTGGCTACTAGCATGTACAACCGTTTGCACTGATGATGGATGTATCAATCCGAAAACGTTTTGCAATGTGTTTGTGATAGCCCGTTTGGGGCATTTTTTGTATACCTTTTATAAAGGATTTTAAACAATTTTTTGTGATATATGGTATACAGCCAGCTACAGGAACTTAGTTTCCTAGTGGAATTTTACGTAGAAGAAGCTTTAACAGCAATAAATAAAAATGACTGAGCTTAACACCATCCTAGGCGCTTTTACATGAATATGCGGAGATAGTAGAGAACGTGATTGCTGCTGAGATACAAAGTATGATTCAAGGGTTGAGGTCTATTTAACAACTTCGAAGAAGAGACGGAGAAGCATAACATTTTCTTTATAGCTGAGTGTATTATTATTAGATAAATAATTAATTTTTTAAAACAGAAAGATGGTTGAGATTTAATTTCAATCCAGGGCCACTGCCATCCGCTTATACGTATTTTGACTTTCTTAGGTGTTCTCAGAGCAACATATGCAAAAGCTCTGGATTGAAAACAAATCTCTCCCGCCATAAAAGTATAATTATAAAAATAATAAGAAAAGTAATTGTATAGGACAATTCAATGCCGTCTAATAACGAAATTAGTAGAAATCCGATGATTTTTTACTTGGAGAAACTACAATTCAAATATTTGTCTACTTGATGAATTTAATTTTATTTAATTAATATTAAGAGGTACTAATTTAGTTATAATTAAATTTAATTTTAGGAAGGAAAACTGCAATTTTCATTACCTCGACCTACATACGTCACCCAACAAGAAGAAGAATCTTCGACTGGCTTAGATAATAAAGCTGTATCTCCTATGCCAGGTGTTCTCGATAAGCTTTTGGTAAAATGTGGTGATAAGGTGAAAAAGGGTGATTCCTTGTTTATTCTAATAGCTATGAAGATGGAATACGTTGTAAAAGCATCAAGGGATGCTACAATTAGCAAAGTTAATTTTGCAGTTGGTGATAATGTTCCTAAAGATTCTACTATAATTCAGTTTGATGTTGCCGAATAATAAAGATATTTAAAAAAAAGTAGTTTTAATTATCATTAGTTAGTGTAGTTGCTATCAGAAAGAATGTAAACAAAGATCAAGTAATTCCAAAATCAGCTCCATTAACCATGAGCTGAACTTTCATCCCAAAGCTGAAACTCCAAAATCTAAAAGTTCATTAAGCTAACCAAATCTCGTTAAATAAACAAACAAATAAACAAATTCCCCTACTCCTCCCACTCGTGACGTACCAGTATCTTGTTTTGTAAAAATACAAGAATCGTTAAACAGCACTGAGGTCTCAATCTGCGTGTGATGTTGGGCTAGGGCTGAAATTGTATCGGAATGTTTTACAGATATAAAATGTCCGTAAATACGGTTATGGATTTGTCGGTTTGTCTGTCCTATGTATGTAGGTGAGTAACTAAACAGGGTATCTCGTAGACACCATGGCCTTCATTGGAGATTTGGTCTTTTACGGATCTGACGAGATTGGACAACTTAGAGTAAGTAGTAAAGATGGTTTTAATGTTTAGACAATTAAGAGTTCTACTGATCTTGACATATACCTTGACCTTTATTAAAAGGTAGAAAGATTTTGGGTCGATCAGGCGGCAAGGATTCTTTTTTGGATTGAATGGGGCTTAGATGTTTTTAAAATCTTCTTTATGTTTTGTGGTCGGCGTTTTGTAAGAGTGTATGACTTGATTTCAGATGATATGTGATTTTTGTCCCTGAGTCTGATGTTCAATTTTGTCAAGAACAGAATATTACTATTATGAACACATGGTTCAAATAACCTGCGCGCAGACTATACACATGGAAATCGCCACAAGACAATGATAAAAATTGTGTCATAAACCAAATAGATTATATCATGATCAACCAGAGATCAACCATAACAAGAAAGAAGAGAGAAAAGAAATCAGACATGAGCTTACTCAACGATATAGAAACGAGACAGAACATATCACAAGAACTTAACCACGAATGTCGAGAACTTAAAAACAGATAAAAGAAAAATGATGTACCAAAAGAATTCGACGACAAACCAAATATGGAAAGAACTTAAGACTGTATTTCTAAAAGCTGAAGACCACCTTAAATACACAAATCAAAGAGGCAAGAAACCATGGATAACTAATAAAATATTAGAAATGGTGAATGTGAGACGACAACACAAAACAAAGACTGGAATAAATATAAAGAAATACAAAGACTAATAAGAAAAAAATAGTGGAAGCAAAAACACACTGGCTTGTAGAAACTTGCGAAGAGATAGAAGACCTACAGAATAAACATGAGGATAGACTTCTTCATAAGAGAATTAAAGAAATATGTGGGATCAGAAAAGCTAGGCAATGTGGCACAATAACAAGCACGGATGATAGAGTCCTGACAACAATAGAAGAAATAAGCGTTGAATGGCGAACATATTGCCATGATGGTTGCCCACCTTCCTTGAGGAGATGTCACATGAAGAAGAAGATGGAAAGGCCCCGGCAGTGTGACAAACGGCTCGTCGACACTATATTCTGACAATCGTCTTTTATGGGAAGGCCTTGCCACTGTATCTAAACAGACGTTATCTTGATTCTCATCTTTTAGATCTATAACAAAATTCATGCTATACTTTTTAACATTCGTCACTATAATTTATCTAATACAAAATATTCATAATGTAACTACTTACTTTTTCTTGCCATCCGAACTATTTGCTTTCCTCGGTTGTTCATTTTATTTTTATATTTCGAACACTAGACGCCGGCTTAAGAATAACTATGTAACAGCTTAAGTCGATATACAACACTGAACTGAACAGAATGACAAGGACAAGACAAATTCCTATAAGCACACATTGCTATCCAATTACCACTTCCACACTTAATTTCTACCTTTGCGCAGGCGCGTACAACACGTACTATAAGCTGACGAGCCTCCACTATTGTGGACAAATGTTGCATCTTTGTGAGCGACACAAATATTGCATTGAACATGCAACATTTCTGCACTAATCTTATGGTGTTTTTAACGGTCTTTAATGGTACTTTAGTAACTAGTAAACCGTTCTATGAGGACATACCATATTTGAGCACAATAAACATTTCATCTACCGGCACAGACCTGTACGTATCTCATTTATAACAAAAATGGACATACAATATTTGTCTTCTTAGCCACCAAGGTCCATCCTGAGCACCAGGTAGCTCTAGCATCATCGTCGTTATCACATTCGTATTCAGCGCTCTCAATAACTAACCGAGTAATAAAATTGAACTCATTCCTGTCGATATTTACAGTTACAATTTTTTTATTTTCTACGTAGATACTTTGGAAATGCATTTTCTTTATTACACAAAATACAATTTATTCATTTACCACCATGCATTTTATTCACAAACTTTCCAGACATTTTCCTGAATCGGGATTGGAAAATTGGTAGGTTTAGTGCTTGTTAGTGCTTTATTTCCTCGCATAAGTTCCTATTCATTAGTTTTATGTTTAAAAAGCATTTTCTAATGAAATGGTTAAGAGAACGAGATATTATTTCGTTAATAATTATGATGAGATATCAACTAGTGGACATTACAAATAAACATTTACCAGGTAATGTATTTAATTATGTATAACACCACTGATTGGAACTTCGTATAATTAGGATAGTTAATTTTGCTCGGTTGTAAATATAACCAACCGGTTTTTCGGCTTACCTGTGATTTTTGATTGGTGTTTGTAAATAAACATATAAATTTAAACTAAAAACAATTGTTTTTGAGATTCTTCGAATGGGGTAGTTTAGTGACCCTACACCTTGTGCGGGTGTGTTTTTGATAAATGATGAGGTTAATGCGGTTAAAAATCAAGTTCATATTAGTAATGCAGACATGGACACGGCTATAAACTAATTAAAAGGTAATCAAAACATAGGCGAAAAAATTTCTGATAAACGACAAATAACCGAAACTCGTCTTTTCAATGTTACGTCGGATAAGTATTATAATTTTAATTTATTTATCTTTATAAAGAAAATATCAATAATGAGAACCTAGGACGTCTATACCCGTTATCAATAGATCATAGTGCACAAAAAAAATTAAAAATGACAAATTAGTCCAGTCGAGTTTTTGACAAAACTGGTAAGGACTGAAATTGCTGCAAATGTGGCTTCCTACAATTTCGTTTTTTTTTACAAATTTTTCGTGCAGTCGATATTTTCTAAGTTACGGGGTAATTCGTGAAAGGGGGAGGACGGAAGCATTATTTTCGAATTATCTCGTTTGTCATTAACTTAACGACATGAATGTCATCATCATCATCAGTAGCTCGACAACATTTTCTGGGTTCTGGCTTGTTCTAGGATTTTCCGCCATTGCATTTGTTCCTTGCTTTGTTTTTCCAGTTGATAATCTAAAGTGTTTTCATTCAGTGAAATGTTACGTTTACAGCACCTTACTATATGGAATGGAGGCCTGGACCTTCAAAATCAACTCACTAAGGCGTTTGGAAAGTCTGAAATGTGGTTATTTCGAAGTATGCTGAAAGTCCCCTGGACAGCGCATATGAGCAACGAGCAGGTCCTACACAAGATGGGTACCGACAGAGAACTCTTAAAAATAATGAAAACACGGAAAACCTCATATTTGGGACACATATACAGAAATGAGAAATACCAGCTACTGCAGCTTCTTATAGAGGGGAAGGTAGAAGGAAAACGTGGTCCTGGTAGACGGCAGGCGTCCAATGTTATGACCTCGGGTTCATTGTATGCTGTGTATAGTTGAAAATTTTAACCTGTCGTTTTTTATAGTTTATTATTTTTATAGTTTCTTTAACCTGTCGATTTGCTGGCCTTCATATATTTGGTTTTTATTTCATAAATGTTTAGGTCGCTGTTTTGTGCCTCTCTTTCTATGGCATTAAATGCTTCTATCATCTCTCTTTCGCTTCTAGCTATGATATCAACATCATCTGCAAATGCCAATAGTTGTACACTTTTTAATATTATGGTTCCTCTGGTGTTGACTTTTGACTCTTTAATTATTTTCTCTAATGTGATAGATTTTCTCTATCTTGAATAAAATACAGGAGAGAGCACGTCCCTGTCGTAGGCCCGTTTGAATTGGAATATTAAACTCTTGAGGTGCATGGATCAGAAATTCTCGATGGAGGTACTCTCAAAATCAATGAAAAGATGATGTGTGTCTATATTAAATTCACTAGTCTTTTCCAAGATTTGCCTCAAGACGAAGATCTGGTTTTATATGCCGCAGTTAGTAGCGTTATTGCCCGATAGTTTTTATATTGAAGCTGATCTTCCTTTTTATGTAGTGGGATAATTACTCCGGTATTCCAGTCTTGTGGCAGTTGTTTATTATTCCATATGTTTTCTATTAGTCTCCGCCTTCCTTTATTAATTCTACACTATTGTTGTCTAATCCAGGTGACCTGTTGTTTTGCAGTCTGGTAACTGCTTCTTGCATTTCAGCTACTGAAGGGGGTTTGTTTCTCTGGTATCGGTTTGATCCAGTATAATTCCATCATATAGTGGATATTCGTTTTTTTAACTTTTATTTGAAGAATTCTGTTCATGTTTCTAGTATTTAACTATGTTGGGTTACCATATCTCCTTCTTTGTCTCTGCACATCATTATTCTTGGTTTAATTTTTTTTCTACTTTTGTTAAGTTTTTGGTAGAATTTTCTGGTTTCTGATAGTTTATTTAGTTCTTCCATTTCTTAAAGTTCTTTTTCTACGTGTTCTCTTTTCTTTCAGCGATGTATTTTCTTCGCTTCTACTACTTCTGGAACTACTATCCTTCAGTTGATGTGAGCTTTTTTTGTAGACCCTGGGTCTCTTTGGCCGCGTCTTGTATGATGTTTTTACACGCTTATCATTCTCTGTTTATATCCTCGTGCTTTTGTCTGTTTTCTAGCCTTCCTTGCATATATTCTTTGTATTTTGCTGTTGTCTGCTAAATTTGTTATTTTATATTTTTCAATTTTGGATCCCTTTTCTTTTTTAATGTTTGAGATTCTG